TAGGTAGTGACATGTGAGCAGGAAGTCCCAAGACTGCCAAAACTATGCTTAGGGAATATGTAGAACGTAACTTTCTTCCCCTCTCATGACCACACATGTACACATAGACACCCTCCTGGCTGCTTAACTGGCATATGACCTTACTCTGGGGGCACTTGACCAGTAAGGGCCAAATCATCCCTACGTGCATGCTCATACCTTCGTAAGTCACACTGGGCATACATATGACTTCCCTTCACCAAATGCCTGACTTCCCTTTACCAAGCAAAAAGTGTGGAAGCTCAGTAAAAGCCTGGGAAAACAAATAGAGCCGGCTAAGATGATAGACCTCCGCTCTTTTTTTTTTTTTTAAGAATTATTTTATTTATTTAATTTTATTCATTTTATTTGTTTGTTTTAATATGATCAGAGAGGAACAGAGTATGTGAGAGAGAGGGAAGGCCTGAAAGCAAGCCACCAGGTCCTGGACTGAAACCGAGGTGGGCCATACAGGAGTCAGCACCCTTAACCACCCTACCATCTTTTGACCCCTAGACCTCCACTCTTAAATGTTCATGACAAGACCCTTCAAGATAAGAAAAACTTGACATTCCCACTGCACTTGACACTTAGTAACTTGCCTGCATGGCCCTCTCCCTAGTGTCCTTATTTTCTTATTTTCTCATGGCTGTGACTTTTGTGTTTTGGGATGGGTCTCTAATCTTAGAGATCTGGGCCCAAGAACTGAGTGTTCTATCTCATGAAACAATTATCTGTATACTGCCTGCAGAGTATGTGTATTTCCAAGTCTAGCTTTTGTCGGTATGAGCTAAGTGTACGTTCCGTGCTACACACATGAGGGAGTGGACCATCTAGAGCCAACACTACTACATCACAGGCCATTGGTCACTGGGTCTGAATCCTGAGAAACCCACATGAGTGTGGTCACTTTAGGTCAGCAGAACATACTGGCAAATGTCCCACAAGCCTTTGTTTTTGAAATTAACATTAACTCTTGACTATCTGCAGAACAATACCTTTAGCAGTCATCTAGTTAAACCAGGTCACTTGACAAATTAGCAAAGTGAGATTTCCAAAACCGTTACAGGATTATCTCACCCTCACCCAGGAGTGAATAGAGAGCCGCAAGCTAGAACTCAAGATCTTTCATCTCTCTCTCTCTCCAAAGAAATTAATTTCATTTGTTTTAGAAACTATGCTAGATAAAATAGCATTGAGAAATATTTGGAGTTACAGTTCTGTAGCCTTTGAAATCATTCTGAGTTTTGAAAATTACTGAAAATACTGTGTGTAGGTGTGGGGGGATTGGTATTTTAGAGAAGAGCTGACTAAGGATAATCCTCCTGCCTCATCTTCCCCAGGAGCTGGGACTACAGACAAGTGACACCACTCCCAGCTTTATAAAGTGGGTGGAAATTGACCCCATGTGGCCTCAGCCTGCCAAGCAGCAACTTTCAGTGCACACTATCACGAATGGGCCTATAGCTTTTCTTTATAAACCAAAGGGGCTGCAAAGTATATGCATGATTTTACAGTACATTTTCTAAACTATAACAATTTTTAAAGTGTGTTAAGTGTGATGTTCATGAAGTCTAATTTGTCTCTTGAAGTGTGTTTAATTGGCAATAAGTGTTTTCAAGATATAGAAATTACAGTCCTTTACCATAACGTCTCATTAAATTAGTTATCTGTGTCTTCAATACAAATAATCATCCTTTTTTATGGAAAAAAAAAAGTCTACTGAAGAGGGAGGTATAATTTAGTATGTGTAGGCTGTAATTTGTAATTGTAGCTTGAATATGGAAGTGCACACAATCTTTGAAATCTCATTCAGACCCAGCCACAGAAGCACAAGCAATAGGGTGTCTTTAAGAACATGAGAAGCCCAGGTTCGATTCCCAGCCCAACCTGGACAGGCAGGGCAAAGTGGTGCATGCCTGTGATTCTAGCTAACTGGGAAGCTAAGACAGGAAGTTTGTTGTATGGTGAGACCCTATCAAAACATACCTCTCAAGATGCTAAGCTAAAGTTAGGCCAAGAGAAGGCCACCATCATTTTGCCTGGAGTGATTCTAATCTGGAACTTGGAGGGTCTCACCCTAACCTTGTCACGGGTATACACAGAGATATCCTAGGGGAAGGTTGGTTTCTTGCAGTAAGCCCTTGGGAAACCCAGAAAGTGGAAGGGCCCTGTAACCATCACTCCTCAGGGTCACTGGGCTCAGAATATGGGGAAATCTCTATACTGATTTGCTCAGGCTGAAGAGGTACAAAGAAAGACAAAAGACAATGAAAGAAGTAGAAATAAGTGAAGCAGGATCTGACAGTCAGCCTCTTTGTGGTAATCAACAAATGAATTGTGAATATTTGGTTGATAGCCTGTTTTATTTTTTTGTTTGTTTGTTTGTTTTTGTTTTTATTTTTTTATTTTTTGAGAGAGAGAGATTTTTGCTATAGGGTTCTTTCTTTGCCAGAGAGACAAAGAAAGACAGTGAGGGAAAAAATGAGAAATTATCCTCCAGGGGATGGCCACGCCACAATCCCTTCTCCTTTTTCCTCTTGTGATTTGGGACACACACGCATGTGCACCCAGCATGAGTTTCAAGCCTCCAGGTCTGGGACTCAAACCAAGGTCGGTCATGTGCGAACCCAGCACCTTAACCACTATGCGACCCACTGGCCCCATTGGTAGCCTTTTGGAGGAAGCACAGAAGGTTGGTGACAAATGCTTGTCCCCCACCAAACAGAAGAAACACGTAGCTGTACGTATAAAATTACGGGAAAACGGATTATAGTTCATGATCATTTCAGAAGTTATTCTGATGGTGCAAATCAACAGTTTCTGAACTCTATCAAAAAGGGGGAATTGTCCTCAGAATTACAAGGCACTTTTGATAAAGAAGTGGACATTGAGGTTGAAGATAAGAAAAATGAAGTATCTGTATCTACAAAGCCTGGGTTCCAACCTTTCATAGGACAATGCAACAGACTGGGAGGTGCCACGTGAAAAATTGTTTCAAAAGCAAAGAGTATCGAAATTGAAAATAAAAACAATTTCTCAGCTGTTCCACTGAAAAAGTTGGAACCCATTACTAATGTACAAATTTGGCTAGCTAATGGGAAAAGGACTGTCCAGAAATTTAACCTTTTTCATAAGATAAACTACATCAAAGACTTCAGAAAATATCAAGGATCTCAAAGAAATCCTCCCTTTTCCCTGACAAGAGTGCTTTCTTTCCTCAAATTGCTAGGTGAAACACACTGGAAGAACAGATTTACAGACTGCTGTAATCATTCAGAGGCTCCTAAAAATGGCTGAACCTTGTAGAGAACTTTTGTATCATCGAGTTTTGATAGACTACATGGACAATTTTCAGAAAAATGATGGTTATAAGGGGACATGCAAACCAAAATGGAGAAAAGAAGTCAGATTTGCTGGACGTTTGTTTCAAGCACTATTTAACTTAATTCTCTCCTTATGAGAAGATTTTTAAATAAGCTCTAGACAGGAAAGTAACATAGGACTGGAAACTATATCCAATACACTTTTTTCTGAAAGGATACTCAGAAAGAAAAATATGCTTATTTGCAAATACCAATTAATTAATACAACGTATATTAAATAGCTATATAATTTATAGAATATTAATGTGGTTTTCATCAAACCTAAACCTCAACGTATTCTCAGCTTTATTCTGTAACAGAAAAATACAAACATACATATTAATTTAGCAACGATATCAAAGATATATTTTTATTTAAGAATAAAATTTAACATTTGAGATTAGCCATTCATTTGCCCCATCCACTTAAAATCTAATGCCTATGCTGTCACATTACTAATTGAACAAATATTTCAAAAACAAATCACATCAAACCAGAAGAATGAAGCGAACAAGAGGAAATAAAATAATAAAATAATGGAAGTTAGAAAACAAATGGTTGACTGGTAAATAATTTAGCAGAGTTGAAAACAACAAAAACAAAACAAACAAAAAACACTAAGGCCAACAGAAGGAGAAGCTGAGAATTGGCTAGAATTACTGACAGGCTCGGGCACTGATATCACAAGGTAGTCCTAAATGTGAGGACAAGAAACAAGGAAAACTGGTGGAAAGTATTTTAAAGAAGCAGCCAGATGCCCAGATTCATTTTTCTGCTTTGCTCAGCTGGGAAACTTTCCCTCCCCAGTGCAGACAAATACTGAAGGTTATTCTCTGGGAGAAGTAAAAGAAGTCTCTGGACTGAAGGACTCCAGGCATGGGACAAGGATTACACGTTGAGAACAAAAAAATTATGTTACTGTCAGGGTATGTATATAATAGAAGAATCCCATGGGCCCAGTGGTAGTGCAGTGGTAACATGCAAAACATCCTGAGTTTGTGTCCCAGCACCTCCCTGGGCAAACACACTGGAACACATGTGCCCATTATCCAGGCTGGCTGAAAAAAGAAGTGGATCATGGCATGAAGATCCTGTTGACAATCTCTCTTTTTCTCTTTCTCAAGAAATAAATAAACATTTTTTCAAAAAGAATTGTATAGAGGACTGGCAGGTGACGTGATGGTTAAGGCACTGGATTCCCACATAGATAACCATGGTCTGACATGGTCTGTCCCCAGACATGGGGACTTAAAAATTACTACAGGTATGTGTAAATGCAAGCCCAAAATCCCAGGAGGAGAATGGAAGAGAAGGGACTGTGGTATGAATATCTCCCCTGGGGAGTTATTTTCATCTTCCCTCTCCGTCTCTCTCTGGTGAGCACACATGCCATATGGCAAAAAAACTAAAATAATAATACAAAAAAGAGTCTTTCATACTTAGAACAAAAAAAGCGTGTATACAGATTTAACTGTAATTTCTTTCTTTGAAACACTACAGGGTAACAGTCATCACTCAGGAAAGACACTTCAGTTCTGAATATTGTAAACATTTCCATTGTCCTAATGCTACCTCTTGTCCTACTTCTTAGGCTTATAAACATGACACTATTTTTACCTTGAATAATGCATGGCTTGGTGGCCTGCGATATTAAAATAGAAGTCTGTTGTGTGCTTCATCTCATTGGTGTGCCCAGTGGCCTCAATCCAGTGTCCTATCGGGAGACAATAAACACCATCCACCAAGTTGTTTTCATTAAAAGTACAGCAACGGTCATGGTGAGGCCCATTGCCTAGAACAAGAAGAAGTGACAAACAGGGCAATTAAACCAATGTTGTACTTCAACAGCCTCAAAGTGGTTGATGCAAAACTAATAGTAAGATGAAAATAACCACAAAGCTACTTACTCTACATATTTCAAGATGAACAACAGACTTATAGGAAAGAAAGAAGAGTAGTAGTTTGTAAGTTACTTGTGAAAATGGAATACATGATTAAAAGAAAATATATTATCAATAACTCTTTCAGAACTCCTAGTACCTCTCACAATGTGCCCTAACAGCCCATTGTGAATCTTTACAGCTTGATAAACTGTTGAAAGAGTTTTTTAAAGCCATTAAAGAAAGCCCTGTGTTACATGATTTTATCCTTCTGGTATGCAAATTTATGATAGAGATCAACAATAAAGTGTTCCATTATCAGTTCAAATAATGAATGCATAAATAGGGTCAGTAGGTGACAGAGTGGTTAAGGTGGCTGGATCCCACATGGGCAACTTCACAGTTCTAGTCCTGTACCTGGCAGCCTGAAAACTATGCCAGGCAAATATACATGTATGCCTAAAAATCTCAAAAAAAGGGAAGAAATGAAGAAGAAGGAATTGAGGTATGACTGTAGGGTGCTTTCTCATTTTGTGCACATTCAATATGTAATCTCTCTCTCTCTCTCTCTCTCTCTCTCTCTCTCTCTCTCTCTCTCCAGAGAACACACATGCTCTCTAGCAAATTGAAAAGAATGCATAAAAAGAACTAAATGCCCCACCCCCAGGTTTGCCTGGGGACCTTAGGCAGCACAGCTCTGCCTGCTTCCTAAGCCATGCCTGCCCACCAGGAGACTTAGATTCCAGGCTCAGCAGGCCTCTTGTTGTGGGTGCAGCCTCTCCCCATTATGCTGACCTTTAGAGCTTGGGTCCTCTGACTAAGTCATATCTCCTTAGCTCATCTCCAGCTCAACAGGAGCTAAAAAGTTGGAAAAGGAGCCAATCACCTGAAGGTACCTATATTAACTTTTATCTGCTCTGTCTGGAAGACATAGTCCTCTAACAGGATTACACCTGGGATCTAAGGGTGATAGTCTCCCCCTCCAATACTACAGAATCTACTCCAATAAATAGAAAGAAGTGAATACTGCATCAGATGACCAAAAACCAGCCCAGAGACAGAAGAAATATGAGAAAACAAGGAAATAACTCTCCCAAAAGGGAACACAATATCCCTCACCAACAAAAGACAACACAAGAGAATTTACAGAAATGTCAGAGAGAAATTGTGAACATTGATTGTGACAAAAACTCAATGAGATGCAAGAGAAAACACTCAGTTCCAAGAAATGAGAAAATCATTCCAGGACAGGAAAGAGGAATTCCATAAAGAGACGCACATTCTAAAAAAGAAATCAAAAAGAACTTCTGGAAATAAAGAATACAGCAAGAAATTTAAATTTCCCTAGAAAGCATTTACAGCAGATTGAATCATGCAGAAAAAATAATTTCTGACCTTGGAGACAAAGTCTCCAACATAGACAAAACCACCAAAAACAATAAAAAAAAGAGTAAAAAAATGAGGATAATATACAGAAAATTCTAGACACCATTAATTGTCCCAATATCCATTTAATGGGTATTACAAAAGCAGCTGTACCGAAAAAAAGATGATCAACCCTATTAAAAAATGGGAGAATGAATTGAAAAAACCACTCTCTAAGGGTGACATATGAATAACCAAAAGGTATATGAAAAAATGTTCAACATCTTAAGGGAAATGCAGATCAAAACAACAATAAGATACCACCTAACCCCAGTCAGAAGGTCTAAAATTAAAAAAAATTTTTTTTTAAATGATAAGTACTGGCGGGGATGTGGTGAAAGGGCAACCCTGTTACACTGCTGGTGGGAATGTAAATTGGTCTATCCATTGTGGAGAAAAATTTGGAGAGTCCTCAAAAATCTACAAATAGAACTACCATATGATCCAGTAATCCCACTCCTTGGTATCTACCCAAAGGACAGAAGAATTCTTCATCAGAAAAGTGCTTGCACATCGATGTTTATTGCAGCACTATTCACAATTGCTAAGACATGGAACCAACCCAAACGCCCATGAACAGATGAATGGATTGAAAAACTGTGGCACATATACTCTATGGAATACTATTCAGCCATTAAAAAAAAGCCTAGCTTTTGACAGAAAGCAGAAGAATATGAAAATTTACTGCTGAGTGAAGCAAGCCAGGCTATGAAGAAGAGACATTGTATGTCCCACTTAATATATACCGAGTGTCTGCACTCTATGACTGAAACTGATTGACTAAAGGATATACAAACATAGTAAATGGGTGTAAATACAAGATATAGTATGTGTGGAAGAGTAGGGCCTGAGGAAGGACATTTAGAAGAAAAATACAGAGGCAAAGCATTAATGGGAAAAAGAAATGTGGTATTATCTCCTGAAAATATTTTATAGTTTAAACAACTGGACTAGGGAGAAATGTTCATATATTGAAATATTAACTTTGTAAGCTAAATAATGTGATTGAATGTATAAAAGAAAATGAAATTTTAAAAAGTAAAAAAAAAGAAATGGAAAATAACACAAAAAAGTGGAAAGGCATCCCATGTTCGAGGATTAGAGGTATCCATTTTGAATGTAATCAGAATGTCAATCCTACCCAAATTAACCTACAAATTCAATGCAATTCTGATCAAACTACCAGAGATATTTCTCACAGAAATAGAAAAAAAATCATAAAATTTGTCTGGAATCATAAAAGGCTCCATATTGTCAAAGCAATACTATGCAAAAAGAATAAAGTAGGAGGCATCTTAAATCCTGATCTCAAAATATATTACAAAGTTGTGATAATCAAAACAGCATGGTATTGGCAGAAAAACAGGCAGGTAGATTAATGGAACAGAATTGAGAACCCAGAAATAAGCCCCAAAATATCCAGTCAACTGATTTTCAACAAAGGGTACAAGACAACCCAGTGGGAAAAAGAAAATCTCTTCAGCAAATGGTGTTGGTAAAACTGGTTTTCCACCTGCAGAAAAATGAAGCTGGACCCCTATCTCTCACCATTAACAAAAATGAACTCAAAATGGGTAAAGGATATAAGCATAAAACTTCAAATTAAAGAACTACTGGTGGAGGGACCAGCAGGTTGTTTGGTGGTTAAGGTGTTGGACTCCTACATGGCCAACTGTGGTTTGAGTCCCAGACCTGGTGGCCTGCTTTCTCTCTCTCTCTCTCTCTTTCTCTCTCTCTCTCCCTCCCTCCTTCCCTCCCTCCCTCCCTCCCTCCCTCCCTTTCTCCTTCCCTCTTTCTCTCTGTTGTCAAATTAAAAATAATTATAATAATAATAACGAAGGTAAACATAGAAATAATTTTCAAATAATAAAAAAGAACTACTGTGAAAAACACAAGGGAAACTCTTGGAGACATCAAAGTAGGCAAATACTTCTTAAATAAGATTCCCAAAGTGCAAGCAATAATCCCAAAAATAGACACATGAGACTACATCAGGCTAAAAAGCTTCTGCACAGCAAAAGAAACAATAATTACAGTGAAGAGACAATCCTCAGAGTGGGGGAATATATTTGTAAACTATGCCTCAGATAAGGAACTTATAATATACAGGGAACTCAAGCAGCTTATACACAAAAACAAACAAACAAAAAAAACAAATCAGGACAATCAAAAGATCAGCAAATGAGCTGAACCGACAACTCCAAAAAGAAAACATGTAAACAGTCAAAAAAGCATATGAAAAAATGCTCAGCATCTCTTATCATAAGGGAAATGCAAACTAAAACCACAATGAGAAACCATTTAATCCCAGTCAGAATGAATAAGATTGAAAAAATAAAGAATGAGAGTGCTGGTGAGGTTTTGGTGAGAAGGGAACCCTCTTATGCCATTGGTGTGAATGTAAATTAGTATAGCCACTGTGGAGAACAATGTGGAGATTCCTCAGAAACCTACAAATAGAGCCACCGTAAGACCGAGTAATTCACTCTCAGGTATCTACACAGAGGATAGGAAAATCCTCAGTCAGAAAAACATTTGACCATCCATGTTTATTGCAGCATGATTCACAACTGCTAGGACATGGACTCAATTCAAATGTCTAAGAACAGATAAGTAGATTGAAAAAATGAAGTACATGTAGTCTATGGAATATTACTCAGCCATTAAAAAAAAATGAGACTCTGACATTTGACACAAAGTGGATGAATATGGATGACTGGATGCTACCCAAAGCAAGACTATGATAAACAGTCATTGTATGTTCTCACCCCATATACCCCAAATGGCTGCACTTTATATAAGAAACTGAAAGACTGGAAAGTATAATAGCAGGGAGAACAACTGTAGATATTGGAGACAGAATAGGAGGGGATGGATAATACAGGGCAAGAGGGAGAGAATCAGTGAAAAAACAAAACATTTAAAACACACAAAAATGAAAAGATATCTGTTCATGATACCGTATATGGTAATGTCTTTGACTTGACTAATACACATTGCATTCACGTGGGGAAAGAACATGCTGCTCACGGAAATGAGGTACAGTAATTAAATGTAAATAAAATTTTTTTAAATTAATATATATATATATATATAAGATATAAGAAATAAATGCATGATAAATGATAAACCAACTGATCACATTTCATTTAGTTTTCAGATAAGACAGTACTTATTATTTTCAGAAGATGAAACTAAGTCTTAGAGATACATGCTCGCCCAAAGACACAGAACTAGTAAGTGCGAAGCTGGCTTTTACCTGATTCACCCAGCCCCCCACCTCTCAGGCTCCTGACACCTCCCTGCTACTTTCTGCCAAGATCACAGGCACCGAAATACACTATCTTCCTCACAGGGCAATGGAGCAAAAGCAGCAGATAGTTTCTCTGAAAAAATTATTTGCCTACTTCACAATTCTACCCAGTATATGGTCTAAATGTTTGTGTCACCCCAAAATTCATATGCTGCCATTTTAATCCCCAA